TACATACATATATACATACATACATACATATATACATACATACATATATATACAAATACATTTACACACACAGTATATCTAAATAGTACCAAATTGGTTTTCACTTTATCGCTTGGTGGAAAAATCTATATCTATTGTTTTTTTCTCAGATAGTGTTGAAGTAAAAAATGTTTGCAAATAAATACAAATATAAAAGCAGAAAAAAGCTAATTACACTCCTTTCCAAATACACAAGTAAAAATGCTTCTACTTTTGTGCAAACATCATTTTTCCACACTTTTGGAAGAGCACTGCTTACACCAAATAAAAAACAAGAGACTCTTTGTATTGTACAGTAATTATGATATCCTGATCTCACAATAATGAAAACAGTTGAGAGTAATCTCTGACCTACAGGAAAGGTGGACAATGACTATCCTATTTGATATGCTTTCATTTCCTCTAAATTATGAGACACTGGGATTTACTGAGTTTACCTAATGTGGATCCATCAATATTAGTATGGCTACATTGCACAGTTACCTTAAGTCTTTGGGGTTGTTAAGGCAAAGGGCCTACTCTGACCTGCTGGAAGTCATTCTCTTCCTGCAGGAGCAATTAACCCAGTACAGTATGCTTCATGGGACAGCAATGGCTCTCTTTAACTTTTCTCATTTTTACGWGATCAGATTCTCATAATTATGAGATCTTTTGTCAAAATAACGAGAACCGGATCTTGTAATTACAAGATACAGAGACTTTTTCTACTTTGTTTTTCCTTTGGTGAGTGCAATGCTTTTCAGCACATACAAACACTAAATAAATAAAAACTGTTTTTTAATGTCACATAAATGCAGATCGAAATATTTTTAAATGAAAGAAGAAAGAAAATGTGTTAGAGGGGGTCTGTCCCCAGAGCTGACTTATCAGTTAAATATGTAACTCACTGCTTGTCTGGAGGTTACAAAGTACCGAAGTCATATCAAAAACTGTCACCAGCTGCTGCAGATAACATCCCACTGAAATTTACGGAGACTGACTGAGTGTGCTGACTGAAAGCTGATTTACAAACATCCTCCTGACAAACATGCGCATCAGTATAAATACCTATTTTCTTCCCAGCAGTTGAGGTGTAAATGCATTTCAGGCTCACTGTGTGACGTGAGGCAGAAGCAGAATCGTACCTGCTGACACAGGTGTCTCAAAACAGAAATATAATTTAGTGGAGGCACTTTAAAAAGAACATAAAAAAACTTTTACAATGGCTGCTGTTACATAATGCTGGTCCTCAGCTGAAACAATGCACATCAGACATGGGTTAGAAGTGAGAAGACAAAAAAAGAAATATTAATAGAATAGAGGAGATGAGCAAAATTCAAGCTGATCAGAGGAAAAAGATATTATGCATCATTATTGATCAACTGTTAAGTTTCACATGTGCTTGAGAGAAAACTAAATGTCATGTTTTGGATTAAAAGTGCCTGTTTTAAAAGTGTGTCCCATTGCACTATTCCCATTTATTTCACCAGCATTCACATAATGGTACAACCTCAAAAACATAAATGCAACTCCCCAATCCATAAACACAAACACATTATGGATTTCCCCCCTTTGCTTCAAGGTAAAGTGATGGAATTTGTTAGAGAGAGTCATATTGTGTTTAAGTGCACCTGCGGGAAGTTTCCAGTTCTCCGAGCTGGATAAATGGTGTGCTGTTTGAGCAATCTGCTGTTCGTGAAAGAATGAAAAACACAGAGGAAGATAATAGGAGATAGAAAGAGAATGGGTAGGTGGACAACGAATAGGGTAATGTGCTGCAGATGATTTTGTAAAGTAACTAGCTTCTATTATTCTCCTTTGCTGCACTTTTATGCCGCAGAAAGAAAATTTGGTGAAACATGTCACACATTGATGTTTTCATAAAGCAAGTGTCCACTCTCCGATTTGAAGTCACGAATGAATTTAATACAACGCTGAAGTAATAAAAACATTGGTTTTGTGTGAATATTTAATGTTTTAAAACAATTGATTTTATAAATGTGTATCCCATTTTTTTACCCATTCCAACCTGCATCGAAAGTGCAACATGCAACCTTTAAAACCCATCAGGTGTTGTAGAAGAGAAGCAAAGCCAAGTTCCAAAACCAAGTGAGTCAAAACCAATACTTAAATTTAACTTGCAGCAAACAAAAATAGGTCATAAATCTCTATATCGAGGGATGTGCTTAGAGGGGAAGAAGCTGGACACGCTGGTAAAAATACACCACTGAGTCTTCACAAGCAGTATCAAGTTGTTTTTAGTGTCCGCAAAAGGTGTAAAACATATCTTTTTCTGAAAATAAATGTTGAATATATTTAAATTAAACTGAATCAGAAGCTGAACTGGTCTTCAGCAAGTATGAAAATCCCTTCCGGTGGGGAGTGGATGTGTTCCTGTGTTTGCTTTCTTAGACAGCCAAATCCCCTTCTCTCAGTAGGATCTTCTCTTTGTAAGTTTAAAGGCATTTGACTTCACGCAGCACTACACAGCGATGACTTGATGTGATGCATGAAAGGCCCAAAAGCAATGCATGCTGGTCAGAAATCCTAACTGACTTTCACTAGTCATGAAGAAAGTGATGACGATATTTTAAAGCAAGCCACAATGAGGCAGCTGTAAGAAGAGGGAGAAGTCTGACTCTGCAGTTGTCTTCCTCCTGCTGTACCAGCTGTGAACTACCACTGTGACGGTGAAGCTCTTCTAGATTGGCTTAAGAATTCACTGACAAGCATTTCATATGATAAATACTTATTTTCAGATCATTAGATTCTTTGTGGTTCCCCCCCACCCCCCACAATGTGAGTGCAATTTATCCAACTTTGTTTTCTGGCAGCTCATTTTCTTTTCACATGGGCAACCAACATCCACATACAGCAAGAAACCTGAAAGAACAGCTTGGATTCAAACCACTGCTATTGGGAAAGATGTAATGCTATTTAGAATGTGGTTCTTGTTGAGCACGAAGTAAACCCGAGTCAATGTCACAGTAAAACACCTGACTTCAAAGGCGTTCCTAGAGGTTCAAACCAAGTTCAAGACGTCTGGTTTGATGCAATTTTAATTACGAGAAATTGACCTGTTAACCTTTGCAGGTTTTCAGGCCTAAAAATCCTTAAAAAGCATACCCAAATTAAATGAAAAACTGCTCTTTCACACTTTGAAGTAAATTCACAAGCCTAGTTTCTATGTAAAGCTATCAGTCTTAATATACTAATATTTAGTCATTGAAAATAAAATACAATAAGATTTTTTTCTCACTTAAAATTTTGTAAGATTTGTTCCAGAAAATGATGGGATGGAGATATTAAGGACAAAAAGTACTATATTGGGCAGCCAAAAAGAGACATGTTTGAGACATAATATAATATAATCCAGCATGTCCATCATAGTTGGACAAGTCTCCAACCAATGCCCAAACTGGACAAATATTTCAAAATACTGTAATTTCGAAATGCTTCAACACGACTTCACTGAGGGCTCAAATGAAAGATAAAAACCCCATAAATCAAATTGTACTATCCATATTTACTCACACCATGATTAAAATACTTAAGAATATTAATAATCAGCCATATGAATCACAGCTGGGACACATGCAGCAAATCCCCCAATTCTCACTTCTTTCAGAGCAACATAATCCACACAGCTTATAAAACCACCAGCTCCACAAAAATAAATGTTTTTCATTTTCTTTTGATGCATAATTTGTCCTCTTTTTCTGATCAAAAGCAAAAAAATACAAAATACAAAAATATAAAATGTAGCTGTAGGTATAATACCTTCTTTTATGGCATTTCCTCTTCTTTGTCTTGAAACCTTCAAAATATTTCATAACAAATATAGTTCGTCTTTTACGGCAAGTTTAGTCAGCTAACTGTCTGAAGAGCGCCATAAAAACATGTTTTCTATGTCTGCTTGAGGGGAAAATGGCTGCCACGACAGAATTTTTTCAAGTTTAATTTTCTACCTTTACACAAGGTCCTCACTCGACAAAGCTGCATATCAAATAAAAGGTGATGTGATTGGCTACATAGTTGTGGTGTCAGAATGAAGCTCACAGCTGACTGGCCAATTCTACAGTCCATCAGTTCATCGAGACACGAGGGACTTGTCAAACATTTTGACCTCTGGAGAGTCAATAGATGAAACCAGTTGGTCAAAAAAGATGTCAATCAAAAGAAGGCAACCAATCAAATTTTTTGAACAGCCGACTATGCAAATTCAAAGTCTCTGGCTGCTGGGTCATGCTATAAAGAGACAAGACGTAACCACAACCTGGATGGGTTAACAATGTTGGGGTTTTAAACTAAAGATGCTGAATTTTTTTGTCACTACCAATAGCTAACTTATTTAAGGGCTCTTCCAGAGTTTTTGACACGACTTGCTCAGTAAAAGCCCAGTATGTAACATAATGGAATTTAAGCAGTTCATAAACAATCAAACTGCAAAGTCCAATTTCATAAGATCTTATACTATCACTTTCTTTGGCTACTTTTGAACCATGTGCACCTCTACCTAGATGTGGGATGCGGTCATTTCAGGGGAAAAATTATGGATATGCGTTATGGGAGATGCAGTTTATGGTCAATGCTGGCTTTAAAGCAGCATGTTTATTTTTAAAACAGTTTTTTTTACATATTTGAAGCCCTTGCAAGCCACATGAAATGCTGTAGCAGACCACGTTTGGCCCACTGGCCCTGAGTTTGATACATATAATCTACTATATGGAATAAAAGTTTCTAAAAGAACATGACTTGTTTGGAATCTGAGTCTATTTGGGAAATGTTTTATTTTATTTTATTTTATTTTATTTTATTTTATTTTATTTTATTTTATTTTATTTATTATTGGATTTGCACTGGAAAGCATCATCAGTTTCACAGAAAAATGTCACCATTTTAGACTGTGGTAGCAAACATTATTCCAACAATGACACAAAAATAGCCAAGAAAACTTACTGCGCGTGCTGCGTTTACAGTGTATTCCAAAAGAAAAATGTAACTAGGAGCTTGTTACACCTCAGAATAATTGTTTTACTATTGGGTGGAAAAATGGGTGCTGTCTTCCAAATGAGACCAAGATCAAGCAGAAAACCACAGCCTCCATTTTGCTCCCTTTTCCCAGCTTTTGATGATCAGCACTTCTCCAATATGCTCATGACAAGCTTGGTAACCGACACGCCTGCCAACAAGCCGATGGAAGCAAAACACAGTACTGAAGATGCAATTATTAATTCATTACCAAGAGATACAGTATCTGTGAAGTTCCTTCATGTAGACACCATTTCTGTTGAGAAAATAATCAGCTGTAATCAGTCTGAGATGCAAGCTGCCTTCACTTCACTTTACATAAATGTAGCATTGATGATGGGAGGTGGTATATCCATGGAGCAGCCTACTTTGATGTTGATATGATGTTATGATGCTCCAAACAGCTTTTTCTCCGGGGACATTGTTTCCAGGCCAGATACACACTGCTGATTAAGAAACCAATCCTCTTGATGTGGCTGTAAAATACAAGAAGCTTTAACACGTTTTGATGTAAAAAGCTATCTTAACAGAAGACACACACAAACACACACACACACACACACACACACACACACACACACACACACACACACACACACACACA